ACATCAGTGGATTGGATATCAGCATCAGTTGCAGTGACTGTCTCAGATGTAACAGTAGCGGATTGGATATCAGCATCCGTTACAGTGACTGTTTCAGATGTAACATCAGTGGATTGGATATCAGCATCAGTTGCAGTGACTGTCTCAGATGTAACATCAGTGGATTGGATATCAGCATCAGTTGCAGTGACTGTCTCAGATGTAACATCAGTGGATAGAATATCAGCATCCGTTGCAGTGACCGTCTCAAATGTAACAGTAGTGGATTGAATATCAGCATCAGTTGCAGTGACTGTCTCAGATGTAACATCAGTGGATTGGATATCAGCATCAGTTGCAGTGACTGTCTCAGATGTAACATCAGTGGATTGAATATCAGCATCCGTTGCAGTGACTGTCTCAAATGTAACAGTAGTGGATTGAATATCAGCATCAGTTGCAGTGACTGTCTCAGATGTTACATCCGTGGATTGGATATCAGCATCCGTTGCAGTGACTGTCTCAGATGTTACATCAGTGGATTGAATATCAGCATCCGTTGCAGTGACCGTCTCAAATGTAACAGTAGTGGATTGAATATCAGCATCAGTTGCAGTGACTGCCTCAGATGTTACATCCGTGGATTGGATATCAGCATCCGTTGCAGTGACTGTCTCAGATGTAACAGTAGTGGATTGGATATCAGCATCCGTTGCAGTGACTGTCTCGGATGTAACATCAGTGGATTCGTTATCAGCATCCGTTGCAGTGACCGTCTCAAATGTAACATCAGTGGATTGGATATCAGCATCTGTTGCAGTGACTGTCTCAGATGTAACATCAGTGGATTGGATATCAGCATCTGTTGCAGTGACTGTCACAGATGTAACAGTAGTGGATTGGATATCAACATCAGTTGCAGTGACTGTCTCAGATGTAACATCAGTGGATTGGATATCAACATCCGTTGCAGTGACCGTCTCAGATGTAACATCAGTGGATTGGATATCAACATCAGTTGCAGTGACTGTCTCAGATGTAACATCAGTGGATTGGATATCAACTCCCGTTGCAGTGACCGTCTCAGATGTAACATCAGTGGATTGGATATCAGCATCCGTTGCAGTGACCGTCTCAGATGTAACATCAGTGGATTGGATATCAGCATCCGTTACAGTGACTGTTTCAGATGTAACATCAGTGGATTGGATATCAGCATCAGTTGCAGTGACTGTCTCAGATGTAACAGTAGTGGATTGGATATCAGCATCCGTTACAGTGACTGTTTCAGATGTAACATCAGTGGATTGGATATCAGCATCAGTTGCAGTGACTGTCTCAGATGTAACATCAGTGGATTGGATATCAGCATCAGTTGCAGTGACTGTCTCAGATGTAACATAAGTGGATTGAATATCAGCATCCGTTGCAGTGACCGTCTCAAATGTAACAGTAGTGGATTGAATATCAGCATCAGTTGCAGTGACTGTCTCAGATGTAACATCAGTGGATTGGATATCAGCATCAGTTGCAGTGACTGTCTCAGATGTAACATCAGTGGATTGAATATCAGCATCCGTTGCAGTGACCGTCTCAAATGTAACAGTAGTGGATTGAATATCAGCATCGGTTGCAGTGACTGTCTCAGATGTAACATCAGTGGATTGGATATCAGCATCAGTTGCAGTGACTGTCTCAGATGTAACGTCAGTGGATTGAATATCAGCATCCGTTGCAGTGACTGTCTCAGATGTAACATCAGTGGATTGGATATCAGCATCCGTTGCAGTGACTGTCTCAGATGTAATATCCGTGGAATGGATATCAGCATCTGTTGCAGTGACTGTCTCAGATGTAACAGTAGTGGATTGAATATCAGCATCGGTTGCAGTGACTGTCTCAGATGTTACATCCGTGGATTGGATATCAGCATCCGTTGCAGTGACTGTCTCAGATGTAACAGTAGTGGATTGGATATCAGCATCCGTTGCAGTGACTGTCTCAGATGTAACAGTAGTGGATTGGATCTCAGCATCTGTTGCAGTGACTGTCTCAAATGTAACAGAAGTGGATTGGATATCAGCATCGGTTGCAGTGACTGTCTCAGATGTTACATCCGTGGATTGGATATCAGCATCCGTTGCAGTGACTGTCTCAGATGTAACTGTAGTGGATTGGATATCAGCATCCGTTGCAGTGACTGTCTCAGATGTAACAGTAGTGGATTGGATATCAGCATCCGTTGCAGTGACTGTCTCGGATGTAACAGTAGTGGATTGGATATCAGCATCTGTTGCAGTGACTGTCTCAGATGTAACAGTAGTGGATTGGATATCAGCATCTGTTGCAGTGACTGTCTCAGATGTAGCAGTAGTGGATTGGATATCAGCATCCGTTGCAGTGACTGTCTCAGATGTAACATCAGTGGATTGGATATCAGCATCCGTTGCAGTGACTGTCTCAGATGTAACATCAGTGGATTGGATATCAGCATCCGTTGCAGTGACTGTCTCAGATGTAACAGTAGTGGATTGGATATCAACATCCGTTGCAGTGACCGTCTCAGATGAAACATCAGTGGATTGGATATCAGCATCCGTTGCAGTGACTGTCTCAGATGTAACACTAGTGGATTGGATATCAACATCCGTTGCAGTGACCGTCTCAGATGTAACATCAGTGGATTGGATATCAGCATCCGTCGCAGTGACCGTCTCAGATGTAACAGTAGTGGATTGGATATCAGCATCTGTTGCAGTGACTGTCTCAGATGTAACAGTAGTGGATTGGATATCAGCATCCGTTGCAGTGACCGTCTCAGATGTAACATCAGTGGATTGGATATCAGCATCCGTTGCAGTGACTGTCTCAGATGTTACATCAGTGGATTGAATATCAGCATCCGTTGCAGTGACCGTCTCAAATGTAACAGTAGTGGATTGAATATCAGCATCAGTTGCAGTGACTGTCTCAGATGTTACATCCGTGGATTGGATATCAGCATCCGTTGCAGTGACCGTCTCAAATGTAACAGTAGTGGATTGAATATCAGCATCAGTTGCAGTGACTGTCTCAGATGTTACATCCGTGGATTGGATATCAGCATCCGTTGCAGTGACTGTCTCAGATGTAACATCAGTGGATTGGATATCAGCATCCGTTGCAGTGACTGTCTCAGATGTAACAGTAGTGGATTGGATATCAACATCCGTTGCAGTGACCGTCTCAGATGTAACATCAGTGGATTGGATATCAGCATCCGTCGCAGTGACCGTCTCAGATGTAACAGTAGTGGATTGGATATCAGCATCTGTTGCAGTGACTGTCTCAGATGTAACAGAAGTGGATTGAAAATCAGCATCCGTTGCAGTGACCGTCTCAAATGTAACATCAGTGGATTGGATATCAGCAGTGACTGTTTCGGATGTAACAGTAGTGGATTGGATATCAGCATCTGTTGCAGTGACTGTCTCAGATGTAACAGTAGTGGATTGGATATCAGCATCCGTTGCAGTGACTGTCACAGATGTAACAGTAGTGGATTGGATATCAACATTAGTTGCAGTGACTGTCTCAGATGTAACATCAGTGGATTGGATATCAACATCCGTTGCAGTGACCGTCTCAGATGTAACATCAGTGGATTGGATATCAACATCAGTTGCAGTGACTGTCTCAGATGTAACATCAGTGGATTGGATATCAACATCCGTTGCAGTGACCGTCTCAGATGTAACATCAGTGGATTGGATATCAGCATCCGTTGCAGTGACCGTCTCAGATGTAACATCAGTGGATTGGATATCAGCATCCGTTACAGTGACTGTTTCAGATGTAACATCAGTGGATTGGATATCAGCATCAGTTGCAGTGACTGTCTCAGATGTAACAGTAGTGGATTGGATATCAGCATCCGTTACAGTGACTGTTTCAGATGTAACATCAGTGGATTGGATATCAGCACCAGTTGCAGTGACTGTCTCAGATGTAACATCAGTGGATTGGATATCAGCATCAGTTGCAGTGACTGTCTCAGATGTAACATCAGTGGATAGAATATCAGCATCCGTTGCAGTGACCGTCTCAAATGTAACAGTAGTGGATTGAATATCAGCATCAGTTGCAGTGACTGTCTCAGATGTAACATCAGTGGATTGGATATCAGCATCAGTTGCAGTGACTGTCTCAGATGTAACATCAGTGGATTGAATATCAGCATCCGTTGCAGTGACTGTCTCAAATGTAACAGTAGTGGATTGAATATCAGCATCAGTTGCAGTGACTGTCTCAGATGTTACATCCGTGGATTGGATATCAGCATCCGTTGCAGTGACTGTCTCAGATGTTACATCAGTGGATTGAATATCAGCATCCGTTGCAGTGACCGTCTCAAATGTAACAGTAGTGGATTGAATCTCAGCATCAGTTGCAGTGACTGTCTCAGATGTTACATCCGTGGATTGGATATCAGCATCCGTTGCAGTGACTGTCTCAGATGTAACAGTAGTGGATTGGATATCAGCATCCGTTGCAGTGACTGTCTCGGATGTAACAGTAGTGGATTGGATATCAGCATCTGTTGCAGTGACTGTCTCAGATGTAACAGTAGTGGATTGGATATCAGCATCTGTTGCAGTGACTGTCTCAGATGTAGGAGTAGTGGATTGGATATCAGCATCCGTTGCAGTGACTGTCTCAGATGTAACAGTAGTTGATTGGATATCAACATCCGTTGCAGTGACCGTCTCAGATGTAACATCAGTGGATTGGATATCAGCATCCGTCGCAGTGACCGTCTCAGATGTAACAGTAGTGGATTGGATATCAGCATCTGTTGCAGTGACTGTCTCAGATGTAACAGTAGTGGATTGGATATCAGCATCCGTTGCAGTGACCGTCTCAAATGTAACATCAGTGGATTGGATATCAGCAGTGACTGTTTCGGATGTAACAGTAGTGGATTGGATATCAGCATCTGTTGCAGTGACTGTCTCAGATGTAACAGTAGTGGATTGGATATCAGCATCCGTTGCAGTGACTGTCTCAGATGTAACAGTAGTGGATTGGATATCAGCATCCGTTGCAGTGACTGTCACAGATGTAACAGTAGTGGATTGGATATCAACATCCGTCGCAGTGACCGTCTCAGATGTAACATCAGTGGATTGGATATCAGCATCCATCGCAGTGACCGTCTCAGATGTAACATCAGTGGATTGGATATCAACATCCGTTGCAGTGACTGTCTCAGATGTAACAGTAGTGGATTGGATATCAGCATCCGTTGCAGTGACTGTCACAGATGTAACTGTAGTGGATTGGATATCAAAATCCGTTGCAGTGACCGTCTCAGATGTAACATCAGTGGATTGGATATCAGCATCCGTCGCAGTGACCGTCTCAGATGTAACACCAGTGGATTGGATATCAGCATCCGTTGCAGTGACTGTCTCAGATGTAACAGTAGTGGATTGGATGTCAGCATCCGTTGCAGTGACTGTCTCAGATGTAACAGTAGTGGATTGGATATCAACATCCGTTGCAGTGACCGTCTCAGATGTAACATCAGTGGGTTGGATATCAGCATCCGTCGCAGTGACCGTCTCAGATGTAACATAAGAGGTTTGAATATCAGCATCCGTTGCAGTGACCGTCTCAAATGTAACATCAGTGGATTGGATATCAGCATCCGTTGCAGTGACCGTCTCAAATGTAACATCAGTGGATTGGATATCAGCATCTGTTGCAGTGACTGTCTCAGATGTTACATCAGTGGATTGAATATCAGCATCAGTTGCAGTGACTGTCTCAGATGTAACATCCATGGATTGGATATCAGCATTCGTTGCAGTGACCGTCTCATATGTAACATCAATGGATTGGATATCAGCATCAGTTGCAGTGACCGTCTCAGATGTAACATTAGTGGATTGGATATCAGCATCAATTACAGTTACTGTCTCAGATGTAACATTAGTGGATTGGATATCAGCATCCGTTGCAGTGACCGTCTCATATGTTACATCAGTGGATTGGATATCAGCATCAGTTGCAGTGACTGTCTCGGATGTAACATCAGTGGATTGGATATCAGCATCTGTTGCACTGACTGTCTCAGATGTAACATCAGTGGATTTGATAGCAGCATCCGTTTCAGTGACTGTCTCAGATGTAACATCAGTGGATTGGATATCAGCATCCATTGTAGTGACAGTCTCAGATGTTACATCCGTGGATTGGATATCAGCATCTGTTGCAGTGACTGTCTCAGATGTAACATCAGTGGATTGGATATAAGCATCAGTTGAAGTGACTGTTTCAGATGTAACATCCGTGGATTTGATATCAGCATCTGTTGCAGTGACTGTCTCAGATGTAACATCAGTGGATTGGATATCAGCATCTGTTGCAGTGACCGTCTCAGATGTAACAGTAGTGGATTGGATATCAGCATCCGTTGCAGTGACTGTCTCAGATGTAACATCAGTGGATTGGATATCAGCATCAGTTGCAGTGACCGTCTCAGATATAAAAGTAGAAGATTGGATATCAGCATCAGTTGCAGTGACTGTCTCAAATGTAACATTAGTGGATTGGATATCAGCATCCGTTGCAGTGACTTTCTCAGATGTAACATCAGTGGATTGGATATCAGCATCCGTTGCAGTGACCGTCTCAGATGTAACATCAGTGGATTGGATATCAACATCTGTTGCAGTGACTGTTTCAAATGTAACAGAAGTGGATTGGATATCAGCATCCGTTGTAGTGACTGTCTCAGATGTAACAGTAGTGGATTGGATATCAGCATCCGTTGTAGTGACTGTCTCAGATGTGAAATTAGTAGATTTGATATCAGCATCCGTTGCAGTGACTGTCTCAGATGTAACATCCGTGGATTGGATATCAACATCTGTTGCAGTGACTGTTTCAAATGTAACAGAAGTGGATTGGATATCAGCATCCGTTGTAGTGACTGTCTCAGATGTAACAGTAGTGGATTGGATATCAGCATCCGTTGTAGTGACTGTGTCAGATGTTTCATCCGTGGATTGGATATCAGCATCTGTTGCAGTGACTGTCTCAGATGTAACATCCGTGGATTGGATGTCAGCATCCGTTGCAGTGACCGACTCAGATGTAACATCAGTGGATTCGATATCAACATCAGTTGCAGTGACCGTCTCAGATGTAACATCAGTGGATTGGATATCAGCATCAGTTGCAGTGACTGTCTCAGATGTAACATCAGTGGATTGGATATCAGCATCTGTTGCAGTGACTTTCTCAGATGTAACATCAGTGGATTGGATATCAGCATCCGTTGCAGTGACTTTCTCAGATGTAACATCAGTGGATTGGATATTAGCATCAGTTGCAGTGACTGTCTCAGATGTAACATCAGTGGATTGGATATGAGCATCTGTTGCAGTGACTGTCTCAGATGTAACAGCAGTTGATTGGATATCAGCATCCGTTGCAGTGACTGTTTCAGATGTAACAGCAGTTGATTGGATATCATCATCTGTTGCAGTAACCGTCTCGGATGTAACATCAGTGGATTGGATATCAGCATCCGTTGCAGTGACTGTCTCAGATGTTACATCAGTGAATTGGATATCAGCATATGTTGCAGTGACTGTCTCAGATGTTACATCAGTGAATTGGATATCAGCATCTGTTGCAGTGACTGTCTCAGATGTTACATCAGTGAATTGGATATCAGCATCTGTTGCAGTGACTGTCTCAGATGTAACAGCAGTTGATTGGATATCAGCATCTGTTGCAGTGACTGTCTCAGATGTAACAGCAGTTGATTGGATATCATCATCTTTTGCAGTAACCGTCTCGGATGTAACATCGGTGGATTGGATATCAGCATCCGTTGCAGTGACCGTCTCAGATGTAACAGTAGTGGATTGAATATCAGCATCAGTTGCAGTGACTGTCTCAGATGTTACATCAGTGAATTGGATATCAGCATCTGTTGCAGTAACTGTCTCAGATGTTACATCAGTGAATTGGATATCAGCATCTGTTGCAGTGACTGTCTCAGATGTTACCTCAGTGAATTGGATATCAGCATCTGTTGCAGTGACTGTCTCAGATGTTACATCAGTGAATTGGATATCAGCATCCGTTGCAGTGACTGTCTCAGATGTTACCTCAGTGAATTGGATATCAGCATCTGTTGCAGTGACTGTCTCAGATGTTACATCAGTGAATTGGATATCAGCATCTGTTGCAGTGACTGTCTCAGATGTAACAGCAGTTGATTGGATATCAGCATCTGTTGCAGTAACCGTCTCGGATGTAACATCAGTGGATTGGATATCAGCATCCGTTGCAGTGACTGTCTCAGATGTTACATCAGTGAATTGGATATCAGCATCTGTTGCAGTGACTTTCTCAGATGTAACATCAGTGGATTGGATATCAGCATCTGTTGCAGTGACTGTCTCAGATGTAACATCAGTGGATTGAATATCAGCATCAGTTGCAGTGACCGTCACATATGTAACAGAAGTGGATTGGATATCAGCATCCGTTGCAGTGACTGTCTCAGATGTTACATCAGTGAATTGGATATCAGCATCTGTTGCAGTGACTTTCTCAGATGTAACATCAGTGGATTGGATATCAGCATCTGTTGCAGTGACTGTCTCAGATGTACCAGCAGTTGATTGGATATCGGCATCTGTTGCAGTGACTGTATCAAATGTAACAGAAGTGGATTGGATATCAGAATCCGTTGTAGTGACTGTCTCAGATGTAACAGTAGTGGATTGGATATCAGCATCCGTTGTAGTGACTGTCTCAGATGTAACATCAGTGGATTGGATATCAATATCCGTTGCAGTGACTGTCTCAGATGTAACAGTACTGGATTGGATATCAGCATCCGTTGCAGTGACTGTCACAGATGTAACAGTAGTGGATTGGATATCAACATCAGTTGCAGTGACTGTCTCAGATGTAACATCAGTGGATTGGATATCAACATCCGTTGCAGTGACCGTCTCAGATGTAACATCAGTGGATTGGATATCAACATCAGTTGCAGTGACTGTCTCAGATGTAACATCAGTGGATTGGATATCAACATCCGTTGCAGTGACCGTCTCAGATGTAACATCAGTGGATTGGATATCAGCATCCGTTGCAGTGACCGTCTCAGATGTAACATCAGTGGATTGGATATCAGCATCCGTTACAGTGACTGTTTCAGATGTAACATCAGTGGATTGGATATCAGCATCAGTTGCAGTGACTGTCTCAGATGTAACATCAGTGGATTGGATATCAGCATCCGTTACAGTGACTGTTTCAGATGTAACATCAGTGGATTGGATATCAGCATCAGTTGCAGTGACTGTCTCAGATGTAACATCAGTGGATTGGATATCAGCATCAGTTGCAGTGACTGTCTCAGATGTAACATCAGTGGATTGAATATCAGCATCCGTTGCAGTGACCGTCTCAAATGTAACAGTAGTGGATTGAATATCAGCATCAGTTGCAGTGACTGTCTCAGATGTAACATCAGTGGATTGGATATCAGCATCAGTTGCAGTGACTGTCTCAGATGTAACATCAGTGGATTGAATATCAGCATCCGTTGCAGTGACCGTCTCAAATGTAACAGTAGTGGATTGAATATCAGCATCAGTTGCAGTGACTGTCTCAGATGTTACATCCGTGGATTGGATATCAGCATCCGTTGCAGTGACTGTCTCAGATGTAACAGTAGTGGATTGGATATCAGCATCCGTTGCAGTGACTGTCTCGGATGTAACAGTAGTGGATTGGATATCAGCATCTGTTGCAGTGACTGTCTCAGATGTAACAGTAGTGGATTGGATATCAGCATCTGTTGCAGTGACTGTCTCAGATGTAGCAGTAGTGGGTTGGATATCAGCATCCGTTGCAGTGACTGTCTCAGATGTAACATTAGTGGATTGGATATCAGCATCTGTTGCAGTGACTGTCTCAGATGTAACATCAGTGGATTGGATATCAACATCCGTTGCAGTGACCGTCTCAGATGTAACATCAGTGGATTGGATATCAGCATCCGTCGCAGTGACCGTCTCAGATGTAACAGTAGTGGATTGGATATCAGCATCTGTTGCAGTGACTGTCTCAGATGTAACAGTAGTGGATTGGATATCAGCATCCGTTGCAGTGACTGTCTCAGATGTAACATCAGTGGATTGGATATCAGCATCAGTTGCAGTGACCGTCTCAGATATAAAAGTAGAAGATTGGATATCAGCATCAGTTGCAGTGACTGTCTCAGATGTGAAATTAGTAGATTTGATATCAGCATCCGTTGCAGTGACTGTCTCAGATGTAACATCCGTGGATTGGATATCAACATCTGTTGCAGTGACTGTCTCAAATGTAACAGAAGTGGATTGGATATCAGCATCCGTTGTAGTGACTGTCTCAGATGTAACAGTAGTGGATTGGATATCAGCATCCGTTGTAGTGACTGTCTCAGATGTAACATCCGTGGATTGGATATCAGCATCTGTTGCAGTGACTGTCTCAGATGTAACATCCGTGGATTGGATGTCAGCATCCGTTGCAGTGACCGACTCAGATGTAACATCAGTGGATTCGATATCAACATCAGTTGCAGTGACCGTCTCAGATGTAACATCAGTGGATTGGATATCAGCATCAGTTGCAGTGACTGTCTCAGATGTAACATCAGTGGATTGGATATCAGCATCTGTTGCAGTGACTTTCTCAGATGTAACATCAGTGGATTGGATATCAGCATCCGTTGCAGTGACTTTCTCAGATGTAACATCAGTGGATTGGATATTAGCATCAGTTGCAGTGACTGTCTCAGATGTAACATCAGTGGATTGGATATGAGCATCTGTTGCAGTGACTGTCTCAGATGTAACAGCAGTTGATTGGATATCAGCATCTGTTGCAGTGACTGTCTCAGATGTAACAGCAGTTGATTGGATATCATCATCTGTTGCAGTAACCGTCTCGGATGTAACATCAGTGGATTGGATATCAGTATCCGTTGCAGTGACTATCTCAGATGTTACATCAGTGAATTGGATATCAGCATCTGTTGCAGTGACTGTCTCAGATGTTACATCAGTGAATTGGATATCAGCATCTGTTGCAGTGACTGTCTCAGATGTTACATCAGTGAATTGGATATCAGCATCTGTTGCAGTGACTGTCTCAGATGAAACAGCAGTTGATTGGATATCAGCATCTGTTGCAGTGACTGTCTCAGATGTAACAGCAGTTGATTGAATATCATCATCTTTTGCAGTAACCGTCTCGGATGTAACATCAGTGGATTGTATATCAGCATCCGTTGCAGTGGCTGTCTCAGATGTTACATCAGTGAATTGGATATCAGCATCTGTTGCAGTAACTGTCTCAGATGTTACATCAGTGAATTGGATATCAGCATCTGTTGCAGTGACTGTCTCAGATGTTACATCAGTGAATTGGATATCAGCATCTGTTGCAGTAACCGTCTCGGATGTAACATCAGTGGATTGGATATCAGCATCCGTTGCAGTGACTGTCTCAGATGTTACCTCAGTGAATTGGATATCAGCATCTGTTGCAGTGACTGTCTCAGATGTTACATCAGTGAATTGGATATCAGCATCTGTTGCAGTGACTGTCTCAGATGTAACAGCAGTTGATTGGATATCAGCAACTGTTGCAGTAACCGTCTCGGATGTAACATCAGTGGATTGGATATCAGCATCCGTTGCAGTGACTGTCTCAGATGTTACATCAGTGAATTGGATATCAGCATCTGTTGCAGTGACTTTCTCAGATGTAACATCAGTGGATTGAATATCAGCATCAGTTGCAGTGACCGTCACATATGTAACAGAAGTGGATTGGATATCAGCATCCGTTGCAGTGACTGTCTCAGATGTTACATCAGTGAATTGGATATCAGCATCTGTTGCAGTGACTTTCTCAGATGTAACATCAGTGGATTGGATATCAGCATCTGTTGCAGTGACTGTCTCAGATGTACCAGCAGTTGATTGGATATCGGCATCTGTTGCAGTGACTGTCTCAAATGTAACAGAAGTGGATTGGATATCAGCATCCGTTGTAGTGACTGTCTCAGATGTAACAGTAGTGGATTGGATATCAGCATCCGTTGTAGTGACTGTCTCAGATGTTACATCCGTGGATTGGATGTCAGCATCCGTTGCAGTGACCGACTCAGATGTAACATCAGTGGATCGGATATCAGCATCTGTTGCAGTGACCGTCTCGGATGTAACATCAGTGGATTGGATATCAGCATCCGTTGCAGTGACTGTCTCAGATGTTACATCAGTGAATTGGATATCAGCATCTGTTGCAGTGACTGTCTCAGATGTTACATCAGTGAATTGGATATCAGCATCTGTTGCAGTGACTGTCTCAGATGTTACATCAGTGAATTGGATATCAGCATCTGTTGCAGTGACTGTCTCAGATGTAACAGCAGTTGATTGGATATCAGCATCTGTTGCAGTGACTGTCTCAGATGTAACAGC